GTCGGCGGTGTGGTGCGGCACTCGGATCCAAATAAGGCTCGGTTTGCCGCGGGGGAAGCCAAGCGCGTGACGACCGCACGAAGAAGTTCAGGGATGTCGCCGAGGAGCTGGCGCGGGAGCTCGGCCTAGGCAGGTCCCTGCGTGACTGCACGATGGCGCCGCTGGCGTGTCTGGCAGCGCTCTTTACTTCTCACTCAGCCCTGGGCGGGGAGGGCGCATGGCTTCGGCAGGGCACGCGACTCCAGCCTGGCAGCTATCTCTGTTCGCTTTTCTCGCTTCTCCTGCTTGTCAGCCCCTCTTCTTCTTCTCGTGCCCTGGGTCGTCGGCTTGCCCGCAGATCTGCCAGGCGCTCAGATGCCACGAGCACTCTCTCATCCCCTGCCAGCCTTACAATAAGACGTCCTTCGCAGAAGGGTACTCCCGCCGCCTTACCCCTCCCTTGCGCGTCGCCGAATCTCTGGGCCACCTCGAGGCCAGGTGGCCTGTTGAGCTTCTGACCCCCAGCAGGCCGTGCAGCTTCCAGGTGCAGTCGGACCGCTCCGCCTCCGACCTGGAGGCTCTGCGTCGCCGCCCCCTCTTTGCGTACAGGGCACACGGGCAGATGGGACAAATTCATGGTGCCGGGGAGGACGACGAGTTCCAGAGCTTCCTCTTGGGGATCGCTCCTCGTCCTACACCTCCCCTCTTGCTGCTGCTCCTCCCCACCCTGCTCCTCACCCTCGTCCTGGTCTTCGCCGCCTCCCCTCTGAGCAGAAGGCCCTGGCGCCTGCGTGTAAGTGGCCGTCGTCGCGGTGCCTCCCGCGCCGAGCCGTTCTCTGGCAGCTGCGGCTCGCTCGAGCGACGGTCAGTGCGGCGGTTGGGCTGGGCTGCTTTTCGCCCCCCCCCCCCCCCCTCCCACCCCCAGGGAGGGGCCGAGGGCTGCTGACGTCAGAATCCGCAGTGGGGCCGGGAGGTCGCGTGGCTGAAGAGGGGGGTCGGCGGGGAACCGAGGGGCAGCGCGGCAGAGGGGCGGGCAGGAGTGGGGCAGGGGCAGGGTGGGCTCGGGCGCGCGCGCGCGCGGGTGGCTGCAGCCCCAGCGCGCCGTGGCATCGTACGTGCCCCTCCTCCCAAGATGGAGCAGAGGGGGGCGCGGGGAGGCGGAGGAGCGCGGACACAGCGTAGTTTACGTGGGATCGTGGCTCGGGGAGAACGGACGCAGCGTAATTTACAAGGGATCGTGGTCCTGGGAGCGCGGACGCAGCGTAATTTGCAATGGATCCTGGCCCAGGGAGAGCAGACGCAGTGTAACTTACAAGGGATCCTGGCCCTGGGTGAGGGACGTCCCGAGGCACGTTCCTTGACGCGTTCCCTGGCACGTTCCGTGGAGCGTCGCCTGGCACGTTCCCTGGCACGTTCCCTGGCGCGTTGCCGGGCACGTTCCATGTGGCGAGTCTCCCTGGCACGTCGCGCGGCGCGTCCCCTGGCACGTCCCGTGGCACGTCCGTTGGCACGTCCCGCGGTGCGTCCCCATGGCACGTCCCCTTGGACGTCCCCTGGCGCGTCCCTTGGAACGTTCCGTGGCGCATCCCCTGGGCATGTCCCTCTGTCAATTAGCTCTGGGGCAGCTACTATGTGTTCAGCCAGCTCGAGCTTAAGATCCAGATCAGTTCGGCCAGGACTCGGATGCAAAGGATGACTCGATCCACACCGCTATGCACAACCGCGGCATGGCACATCGCAATTTAGCACGGCGCAGCACAGCACAGCCCTTGGCACGGTACATCAAAATCGATACACTCAGCCTTGCAACCTGGCACGTTCCCTGGCACGTTCCGTGGCGCGTTCCATGGCAAATTCCCACTGGCACGTCGCGCGGCGCGTCCCCTGGCACGTCTCGTAGCACTTCCGTTGGCACATTCCATAGCGCGTCCCCTTGGCACGTCCCGCGGTGCGTCCCCATGGCACGTCCCTTGGCACGACCCTTGGCGCATCCCTTGGGACGTCCGCCGCGCGTCCCCCTGGCGTGTCCTCCTGTCAATTAGCTCTTGGGGCAGCTACTATGTGCTCAGGCAGCTCGAGCTTTAGATCCAGATCAGTTCGGCCAGGATTCGGATGCAAAGGGGGACTCGATCCACACCGCTATAGAGCACAGCCGCGGCATGGCACATCGCAATTCAGCACGGCGCAGCACTGCACAGCCCTTGGCACGGTACATCAAGATCGATACACTCAGCATTGCATTTGCCCGTCGCCCAATCAGGTGTCTTGAAAACGTTGCCATGTCTTACATTTCTATATCCCTTTCCCAGGTTCGTGGGTCGATCATGTTTTCGACGTTTGTGTCGTGCATCCTGAGTGCGGGCTTGAAGGCGACCAGCACATAGTTGTCTTTGCCGAGCTGGCGCCTGCCAAGCGAGTGCGCGCAGGATTCGGTGTCTGACACGCGCCAGTCGAAGAATCCGTCATGCAAGCCAGGCATGACAAATCACGACCCTATCCACCGCCTGGCCCAGAGTGCCGTACGAGACATTGCTTCCAGAACGTTCTCATTGATTGATCCCATATGAGATCGATCATCAGGAGCGATTTGGAGCTCTCAATGTGGCTGGCGTCGGGGTCAACCTCCGGACGAACCTTCAGTGCGAGATCGCGTGGTGGGGAGGCGGCGCGCCGAAAGGAAGATCTCGTTGTCGTCTCCTTGTCGTGCTGTCTCGCCCCTCCCTTTCCTCCTTTTCCCGGACGGCCCGGGCCCAGGGTTCTCTTCTGTCCCCTCCCGGAATCGACTTGCGTAGGGCCGGCGGAATTATTTGCGATAGATCACGAGGTCGCGTAGGGCCAGCAGAATTATCTTCGAGGATGTAAAGTTTTTTTTGTTGTTTCTCAATCCGATCGATACATCATATGGTAAAGTAAGCATTTTCGTTGGCTGCGGATGTCTCGAGCGAAACGCTTGTTTTGCGTAGTTCCTTGAGGACGTCTCGAGCGAAACGTTTGTTTTGTGCCGTAGATCGTTCCTCTCCTTGAGACCAGAATTCAGAGGATGTCTCAGGTGAAGTGGTTGTTTTCACGTGCCCAGGTCTTGAGGATGTCTTGATCAAGACGCGGCGAGACGCTTGCTTTCACGCGTCCAGGTCGCACAGGAAGATGTCTAGCATGAGGATGTGTTGCGGATGTCTCGAGCGAGACGCTTGGTTTCACGTGTCCAGGTCGCCCAGGAGAATGTCTAGCATGAGGATGTGTTGAGAACGTCTCAAGCCTCTGGCGAGACGTTTGCTTTGACGCATCCAGGTCGCACAGGCAGATGTCTAGCATGAGGAGGTGTTGAGAATGTTTCGAGCGAGACGCTTTGTTTCACGTGTCCAGGATGTCTAGCATGAGGATGTGTTGAGACCGTCTCAAGCGAAACGATTGCTTTCACGCGTCCAGGTCGCCCAGACGGATGTCTAACATGAGGAGGTGTTGAGGATGTTCCGAGCGAGACGCTTTGTTTCAAGTGCCCAGGTCGACCAGGCGGATGTCTAGCATGAGGAGGTGTAGAGGTAGTCTCGAGCAAAACGCTTGTGTTTACGTGCCCAGGTCTCCCAGACGGATGTCTAACATGAGGAGGTGTTGAGGATGTCTCGAGCGAACCGCTTGTTTTCACTTGTCCAGGTCGCCCAGGGTGATGTGTAGCATGAGGAGGCGATGGGAACGTCTCGAGCGAGACGCTTGGTTTCACGTGTCCGGGTCGCCCAGGCAGATGTCTAGCATGATGATCTGGGCAAGATGTCTCGAACGAAAGGATGTCTTGAGCGAAACGCTTGTTTTCACGCGTCCAGGTTGCCCAGGCAGATGTCTAGCATGAGGAGGTGATGAGAACGTCTCGAGCGAGACGCTTGGCTTTCACGTGCCCAGGTCGCCCAGGCGGATGTCTAACATGAGGATGTGACGAGGATGTCTCGAGCGAGACGCTTGTTTTCACGTGTCCAGGTCGCCCAGGCGGATGTCTATGTGTTGAGGATGTCTCGAGCGAAACGCTTGTCGCAGTAGAGTGCATCGCAGTCCAACCCCGCTCTTCCGTGGGGCGTCCCCTGGCGCGCTGGCGCGTCCCCTCGCGCGTCCCTTGCGACGTTCTGGCGTGACGTGCCACGGCACGGCCCCTAGCACGCCACTCGGCGTGGCACGTTCCCTGGACCGTCCTCTGTCGCGTTTGCTGCCTCGTCCCCAGGCGTTTCCCCTGCCCGTTCCGTGGCGCGCCCCTTGCAACGTCCCTTGGCATGACGTCCTCTTGGCCGTCCCATGACACGCGCCTTGGCACGTCCCGTGGCAGGTCCCTGACACGTTCAGGGCACGTCCCCTGATACGTCCCCTGGCACGCCCCAATTGCGCCCCTCGCACATCCTGTGGCGCGTCCGTGAACCTGTGCCCCGCGTCGTGTCGTTCCTTTTCGGAGCCGAGCCGAATTTTGAGGTCCATTTGATTGAACGTTCCGCGCGTTTCCACTTCAACTAGCTCTAGGGCAGCTACTACGTGCTCAGGCAACTCGAGCTTAAAATCCAGATCAGTTCGGTCAGGACTCGGATGCAAAGGAGGACTCGATCCACAACGCTGTCGAGCACAAACGCGGTATGGCACATCGCAGTTCAGCACGGCGCAGCACAGCACAGCCCTTGGCACGGTACATCAAGATCGATACACTCAGCATTGCATTTGCCCGTCGCCCAATCAGATGTCTTGAAAACGTTGCCCTGCCTCACGTGCCTATATTCCTTTCCGTGTTCGTGGGCCGATCATGTTTCTCTGGTCGTCATCATTGTTATCGTTGTCGTTTCCGCCAAGCTGCGCGGTCAATATCCCATCGGCCGAAGCAGCCTGATTGGCATCATTCCTGTTGCTGTAGTCGACGGTTCACAGAACCCAATCCGTTTCTTTCTCTCCTCGCCTTTGAAGTCCCCGCTCGGGCTCTGTGGGTGCTTTCAGGCTTGCTTCGACATCCTTTGGGACCCTGAAGTATAAGCATGTATTGACACTGCGTCACCCTTTCAGTGCTTCACGCTGTTATGCTACCGCAGCCTTGTACCATGTAGAGCATTTCTTGCACACTCGTTTATTTTGTCAGCGAGCTCGACCGCCCTTCGGGGATCTGGGCGCGGGCGATCCCCGCATCGCTGCATCCGTGCATCCTAGTATCTGTGCTCCGCCAGGCGATCTCAGTCGCGCTCGACGCACCCAGGGAGTGTCTGTTTTGTCACGCATAGAGCAGCTTGGGATCGGCTTCCTCGTGGTGCAGGAAGCCGAGGCGACGTTTCAGACCATGTCCGCATTGCTTGTCATGTACATTGGACTTCCTTTCGCGGATTGCATTCAGCGGTGCCTCCATGGGCGGTCGATGCCGTTGAGCCATGGGAAGCTGAAGCCAAAGGCGCGCGGAGAGGCGAGGAGGATGATGAGGAGGATGAGAGGCGGCGTGATGAGGAGTTTCGTAGGGCCCTCATCTTTCCGTCCGCGTCCTTAGCCTCTGGCGAGTATGTGCTTCAGCCAGTGAGTATGTCGCTCCAGTGCCTGGCGAGTGGGTCGTTCTAGCCTCGGGCGAGTGGGTGGTCGTTTAGCCTCCAGCGGGTGGGCTCGATGAGCCGCAGATGGCCTGTGCTTACTCTCCCCGTTCCTCCGCTCTCTCCCGCTCTCCCGCTCTCTCCGGCCCTCACCCCCTTGTCTCCCGCTCTCCCCTCCCCGCTGTGGCTCCCCGCCCCCCTCCCCGCCCACCGTCTCCGTCCCCGTCTCCGTCCCATGTCCCCTGGAAGTCAGCAGAACTTGTTTTTCTGGAGTGTTGCTGATTTTGCGTTTGTGTGCTTCTCTTTTGTTAGTTTTTTTTTTTTTTTTGTTTGTTCCCGGAAAGGGTGGAAGCCAAGGGTTCACTTTTGAGTGTGGTGAACCATTTGCTGGGCCTCAACTTCCGTAGGGCCGGCGAATTCTTTTGCTATGAATAGCGAGATCGCGTATGGCTGGCGAAGTGACATGTAAAGTACACATGTTCATTTGTTGCGGATGTCTCGGGCGAAGCGCTGGTTTTGGAGAGTTTGTTCAGGATGTCTCGAGCGAAACGCTCGTTTTGGAGAAGTGGAAAGGCCGCCCCTTTCGCCCCAGTCCTTTTCGCTTCACGCGTGAAACCATATGGATCTCTTTCGCCTAATGGCGCGGCAAGCGTGAAATCACGTGGGTCCCTTTCGGCCCAGAGCGCAGCCAGCGTGAAAACACGTGGGCCACTTTCGTCCCCAAGCGGAGCAAGCGTAAGGGAGTGTTTTCACGCTTGCTCTGGGGCGGAAGGGACCCACGTGCTTTCACGCTTACAGCGTTCTGGGACGAAAGGGACCCACATATTTTCACGCTTGCTGCGGTCTGGGGTGGGGTAAAAGGTACCGACGTGTTTTCACGCTTGTTCCGCTCTGGGCGAAAGGGGCCCACGTGTTTTCACGCTTACTGCGCTCTGGGGCGTAAGGCGCCCACGTGTTTTCACGCTTGTTCTGCTCTGGGGCGAAAGGGGCCCAAGTGTTTTTCAGACTTGCTCCGCTCCAGGGCGAAAGGGACCCACGTGTTTTCATGCTTACTGCGCTCTGGAGCGAAAAGGACCCACGTGATTTCACGCTTGCTGCGCTCTGGGTCGAAAGGGATCCACGTGTTGTCGCGCGTCCTGGCCACGCAGGGTCGGTCCCCCCCTCCCAAAAGCAGAGCAAACGCATCGAATCGGCACTAGATGCATTATCACTTGGCACGTTCCGTCTTGAGGCTCTTGGGAGGCCTCCTGGGGCTTCCTGGACTGGATGGGGACCCGGGTGTTTACATGTGGGGCGAAAAGGTACCCACGCTTGCTTCCCTCTGGGGCGAAATGGACCCATGTAATTTCACGCTTGCTGCGCTCTGGGGCGAAATGGGCCCACGTGTTTTCACGCTTGTTCCGCTCTGAGGGGGGAAAGTCTGATGTGTTTTCATGCTTGTGCGGCTCTGGCGCGAAAAGGGCACACGTGTTTTCACGCTTTTTCTGCTCTGGCGCGCAAGGGACCCATGTGTTTTCACGCGTGTTCCACTTTGCCTGGGCGGCTCTTGAACATGCGGATTGGTTGAGGGGTTTTCGAGCGAAACGCGGGTGTTTATGTACCCAGGCCGCCCAGGCGGATCACTTACATGAGTATGTGATGTCTAGGGCGAAACGCTCACTCTGCAGGATCTGTTGAGGATGTCTCGAGCGAGGTCCTTGCCTGCAGCGAAAGGATCCTTTTGCAGGATGTGTTGAGGATGTCTCTTGCGAAACGCTGGTTTTTCCACTGTTTGAGGAGGTGTCGAGCGGGGGCCTTGTCGTTGTTTATGTGCTTCTTGTTTCGGTTCGGATACGCCCCTCGATCGTTTCGTCCCACTTCGGAACTGAATCGTATCTTGAGTTCGAGCTGGTTGCACGCCCCGCATGTTTCTCCCCCGCCTGTCGTGGGGTCGCGCTCGGTTCGCTCCGTTGCGGAACTGAACGTCTCGGGCGATGGCTTCGAAACTGATGTGGATATTGAGATCGAGCTGGTCGAGCGCCCCGCGCGTGCCGACTACAACTTGCTCGAACTGTGCGTTCATGCAGTTCGAGCTGCAGATCCAGATCACTTCGGCCACGATTCTGACGCCAAGGACGGCTTGATCCACAATGCAATAGGGCGCGGCACGACTCAACGCGGCGTGACACATTAAACTCAGCACAGCACGGTACAGCACAGCGCAGTACAGCGCAGCCTGTGTCACGGTACATTACGATCATTACCTTGAGCATTGTCATTGCCCGTCGCCCAAGTTTGACGTCTTGGAAGCGATGCCATGCTTCACATTTCTACATCCCTTTCCGGGCTCGTGGGTCGTTCATGATTGTTTTATTTTTGCATTGCTGTAGGTCTCGAGGCTTCGGGTCTTTCATGACACGGTGCTTTATACATGCCCCTGTCCCCTGTCCCTCGTTTGTTCTCCTCGTCCCCCGTCCCGGGTCTTCCCTCCTCTCCCTTCTTCTCCCTCTCCCTCTTCCGCCCCTCCCCCTTTGGCTTCCCCTCCCGCTCCCGCTTCCCGTTCGCCTTCTGCGTCCTTCTCCGATCTCCCGCCCCCTCCCCCTTCCCTTCCGCTCCTTTTTCCTTGTGCCGTCGTCCTCTCTTGCTGGTGAGCATGCGTTCCCCCAGGTCTCGTTTCAGCGGTGACGCAGGTTGGCCAGCGGTGACGCAGGTTGGCCGGTGACCTCCGTGTTCTTGTTCTCAGGAGCGCAGAATAGGCACAAACACACATAAACGCCGATTCCGATGGAAAGATGGAAACATGGGAGTCGGAGGGGAATATTTCATTTCAATTCAGGAAGTATGGGAAATATATATAAAATCCTTGGGTTCTTTGTCGATTTATCTCCTCGCTTCGCTCATTCTGCCGGCCCATAATGCTGCATCGCTGGCATGTGCCCGCGTGTTCGTTGCCCCTGCGGCGCTGCGGGGCAACCGTGCCTGGGTTGTGGGTCAGAGTTCTCGTGGAGGCTTCTTGGGGTCTCCTCGGAGGGCGAGCATTTTGGGATCCTGTTGGGAGCATCCTGGGGGCACCTTCGGCGCCTCTTGGGGTTCTCTTGGGGCCTCTTGGGGGCTTCTTGGATATGTTGGGGGTCACTTTGGGCCTCTTCGGGCGTCCTGGGCGCCTCTTCGGGCCGAGGGCTCGAAGTGTCCGTTCGGAATCCTCTTTTGGGCCTTCTCTCGGGACCGTCCTGGGGCTCTTTGGGACCCTCTTGGGCCGTCTTCAGCCGTCTTGGGGCAATCTTGGGGGCTTCTTGGGCCGTCTCTTGGGCCGTCTTGGAGGGTCGGGAAGCCGAAATGGCGAGAACGCCAAATCGCTAAAAAGTTGAGATAAGCTAAGCTAAGCCAAACTAAGCTAAGCTAGGCTAGACTAAGCTAAGCTAAGCTAACTTCCGATGAGATAAGCTAAGCTAAGTTAAACTAAGCTGAGCTAAGGTAAGCTAAGCTAAGCTAATATGATATGACATAAGCTAAGCTAGCTAAGCTAAGCTAAGCTAAGCTAAACTAAGCTAAGCTAGGCTAAGCAAAGCTAAACTAGCTAAGCTAAGATGAGATCAGCAAAGCTAAGCTAAGCTAAGCTGAGCTAAATAAGCCAAGCTAAGCTAAGGTAAGCTAAGGTAAGGTAAGCTAAGCTCAGCTAGACTAGACTAAACTGAGCTAATATGAGATAAGCTAAGCTAAGCTAAGTTAAGCTAAGCTAAGCTAAACTAGGCTAGGCTAAGCTAAGCTAAATTGAGATATGCTAAGCTAAACTAAGCTAAGCTAAGCTAAGCTAAGCTAAGCAGGGGCGCAACTGGGGGAACCGCGGGGCGGATGCCGGGGGAACCGCGGGGCGGATGCTGGGGGAACCGCCCGGGGCGCATTACACTGCCCGGCCCTTCAAGCTCACCGAGTAAGAACCCTTCTAGGCAGAGCCCAGGTAGGGAATCATTCATTTTTGCGCCATGGGCTGCTCTTTAGAGTGTTCTGGGAGGCTTCTTGGGGCGTCCTGGAGGCCTCTTGGGCTGTATTGTTCTTGGAGCGGTCTTCTGGCGTCTCGGAGCACTCTTGGGGGCCTCTTGGGGTCCTCTTGGCCCTCCTTGGGGCTCTCTGAGGAGCCCCGAGGGCGGCGCCCAGGAGCAGAACCATCTCTGACTGGACCTTGCCGGAGATCGGGCGGGGTACTTTTCGCCCAGCGACCCAAAGGGGCTGCACGCGCGCGCGAACTAGAAATCTTTACACCTGTTACCGGAGATCTTAGCACGCTTTGGCCCGTTGTGCCGACGAATTTTTGTCCCCCTCGGTCCCTTTACCTCCTGCGGCTGCTCCTCTACTAAGCTCTCTCTGCCCAGTCGCTGCTCCGCCCGCTGCTGTTCCCATTCCTCTTCTCGAGAAGACCGGAGGCCTTCGAGTGGAACCCGTCGATGGACCTGCTGGCATGTCTGACGACGCCGCCAGATTCGAGCATGGTTGTCTACCGCCTCCTCTCCGAGGAGGGGTACGGGGAGAAATTGGAGACAAGACGCATACCAATTTCTGGATTTTCTTTTCCCACACCCTCTTCTCCCGGCCCGACCTCTTCATTCCGCTTCTCCCTTGTTGTCGAGACGGGGCCATCGAAGGAGGTATGTGGTCAGATTAGTAACTGGCCGCTCTGTGGGAATTTATACCCGCAGCGTAGCATGTAGAGGGGCAGAGTAGAAGGCAGTTGAACCGCAGCCATTTCAGGTTTCATTTAGAGCCCCATGAAAAGGCATCAGATCTTATACATTCCTTTCATGGTAGCGTGAGCTAGGCTTGTCCACTCGCGATCTCGACCTCGATTTCGATTTCGATCCAAGGAGGAGCATCCACCAATTAAACATGGCTCTGCAATTACAAATGGCGTCCCAAGAACAAATTCAGCAGCTGATCGATGGATTGCAGCAAAAGGATCAGCAAATCAATCAATTGATGCAGCACTTGCAAACTCAGAATGCGAACATGCAACAAATGCAGCAGAACCATGATCAAAACATGCAGAGAATGCAGCAGCAACATCAAGCCACAGAACAGGCAATGCAAAGCACCCTGCAGCAGACATTTGAGAGTGCAGCATCATCGTCGCGCAGCGCGAAATCACTTGTCGACAACACGGGGACAGGAAGACCCAGCAATTTCGACAGCGACATGAAGAAGTGGTCGAACTACATTTCTTGATTTCAAGAATTATGTATCCTCCTTTTTTCGTAACGCCCGTGCTTTGATGGATTGGGCTGAGGAGCAGCACAACACGATTCCAAGTGCACAGGTCGAGGATATTTGTTCTCATTTCCATGATGCGATTGTTGTTTCAACCCAGTTGTACACAACTCTAGCGCAGATGACGGACCGTGAAGCGTGCGACATTGTTAAAAACATGTTGGCGGATCACGGTTTGGAAGCTTGGCGGAAGTTGTGTCGGCGTTTTGATCCGCACACCGGCCAACGCAAGCGTGCCCTCATCAGTTCGATTTTGCAGCCCGGCCAGTTTCAAATCCAGGATTTGTCTTCTAGCATCGAGCAATGGGAAGAGAAACTCCACACGTACGAAAACAGGACCCAAAAGAAGTTGGATGATGACATCAAAGCCGGAATCTTAGTCACAATGTGCCCCGAAGGTTTTCAAACACATCTGAGCCTAAATCAGTCGAAGTTTGAAGATTACCTTGATGTGCGTGAAGAAATCATGTCGTCTTCGGAAACTCTGCATGTCAATGCAGACACCCGAGGTATTCCAATCGATCTCGGCTGTGTCGGCACGGACGGTAAATTTGGAGGTAAAGGTTGTTTCATCTGTGGTACAACGAACCACAAAGCTCACGAATGTCACTGGCGTGATTCCAAAGGCAAGGGAACTGGTACGGTAAACCCGGCTCTCTTGGTGGGAAGTACGGCGGAAAAAGGTGGAAAGGGCAGAAGAATAGTTGGATTGGAAAAGGAGGCACTGCATGGCAACCTCCGCGGCAGTTCGACAACAACTCAGGGAAGAAATCCGGAGGCAAAGGGGACAAATCGAACAATTGGCTCTCGAAAAGGAAAGGTTTTGGAAACTATCCCCCGTGCAAGTTTTGCGGGAAAACGAACCATCCAGAAAACAAGCGTTTTAAGAAACAAGGTGTGAATGAACTTGATGTTGTTTAGAACCCTAGTGGCGACGGTCAAGGGTTCCAGAGTTTCATGCATGACATTATTGATCGTTGGCAGTTGCAGCAATCGCAGTTTTCAAGCGGATCCGAGCAAGCCTTGCCCAGGCAGGGACCCATCACCTACACGCCAGCGGGAAGCCCCTCGGTGGTCTTGAGTTGTCTGGAATCGAAGCTGGCACTTTGAATCCATTGACGCCTGAGGGTCCCAAGTGGCGGACGAAAGTCGGTGATAGGATGCAGCCTCTGAGCCCCCTCCATGAAAAATTGATCACCGTAGACTGCAGCTTCCGTGCCAGTCGTTCCTAAACATGGTGCCAATGAGTACCGCACGATTCCGAACCAGGAGTCCAAGGCGGGAGTTTGCTACGCGGTCGCCAACGGTTATGTTGTACCTGATGTAGGTGATCCTTCCCCAAACATCGTTACAGATTATGGTTAGCTAAAGAGAGGGTGATTTCATGTTGCAGATGGTGATACACCTTTGTTGGCAGTACCTTCAATCCAACAGAAAGGGTCCAGATTTGTCTTTGACGACGAAAGCTACATTCAAAACCAATACAATCCATCGGATACCATCCCACTGGTTGAAGAAACGGCATTTACAACATGAGAACTTGGATCGTACCGCCATCATTCGAAGAAGTGGCGGATGCACCGTTTCTCGCACCAGTTGAGGCAGAAGGACAGAACCACCCAATCTTCACGCTTCGCGTATCCCCACCAGCCCATCTCAAAACAGCAACTCTTGCGAAGCATGCCGACAGTCGTGTTTTTCAGGCGTGTTTCCGCCTGCCCCCGCATATCTCCCCTGTTCCTCCTTCCTCCCGCCTCCTTGTACATCCTCCTTGTGGTGGGAGCGGGAGAAGGACGAGGCGGAGGAGGAGGGAGAGAAAGCGCTCCTCGTGGTTTGAGTCGTTTGGGGTTTCTCGTCCTGGTGTGAGTCGTTCGGGCCCTTCTTCCTGGTGTGAGTCGTTCGGGCTCTTCGTGGTGTGAGTCGTTCGGGCTCTTCGTCCTGGTGTGAGTCGTTCGGGCTTCTCGTGGTGTGAGTTGTTCGGGCCCCTCGTCCTGGTGTGAGTCGTTCGGGCCCCTCCTCCTGGTGTGACTCGTTCGGGCTCCTCGTGGTGTGAGTCGTTCGGGGCCCGCGTCGTGGTGTGAGTCGTTCGGGCTCCTCGTGGTGTGAGTCGTTCGGGCGCCTCGTCCTGGTGTGAGTCGTTCGGGCCCCTCCTTGTGGTGTGAGTCGTTCGGGCTCTTCGTGGTGTGAGTCGTTCGGGCCCCTCGTCCTGGTGTGAGTCGTTCGGGCTCCTCGTGGGGCCTCTTGGGGGACTCTTGGGGCCTCTTGGGGGCCTCTTGGGGGCCTCTTGGGGGCCTCTTGGGGGCCTCTTGGGGGCCTCTTGGGGGCCTCTTGGGGCCTCTTGAGGCCTCTTGGGGGCCTCTTGGGGGCCTCTTGGGGGCCTCTTGGGACCGCTGGGGGGCCTCTGGGGGGCCTCTGGGAGGCCTCTTGGGAGCCTCCTGGGAGCCTCTGGAGGCCATCTTGGGGCCTCTTGCGACCTCCTCAGAAGCGCCAATGAGAGCTGCCCCCTGAAAAGAACAAAATGAGCCCAAAACCTTCGTAAAAGCAATGATTTTGCTATGAAGGAAGATGAGCGCGGACTCCTCAGAACGCCAAAATGGGGCCAACACCATAGTAAAATAAATGATTTTGGCTTTAAAGAAGCGCAGAGGGGCCAAACTGTGCCCCCCCGTCGGGGCCAGAATCCTCGTGAGGGTCGTCGTTTTTTGGCCCTCCCAGGAGTCGGAAAAGACCCCTTCCAACGACCCGCGGGACTCCCTCTCCAGGTCCAGGGGGAGGGGGTAGGGGGAGGGGTAAACCCCTCCCCGAAGGGGAAGAAGGGGGTTGGGGGATTGAGAACAGAGAGAGCTCGCTAAACCACTCACGCCCAAAGGGCTGGTGGGATTTTCAACAGGCAGGGCCTGAGCCCGTAAGGCCTCAAGAGGACAATATTTCACCTGAGGGGCCACAGGGTGTGCCCCAATGTGCCTTGGCGCAATGCGATTTCTTCCCGTTGGCTGAAGACGGGGATGCTGGGGCGGATGTCTCAGAAGACCTCTCCGCACCTGTTTTCAAACTCCGGCGCAACCGACCCTGAGAGAGGTACTGAGAGAGATAGATGAACACAACGCCACGCATCTTCCCCATAGGAATTGGTGTCGGCGTTGCGTCCGGGGGAAAGGTAAAAGCTTGGCTCACCGAGCGCGTGGTTTTGAGAAGGATCACGAAATCGTCACGGTTTCAACTGATAATCTCTTTTTGGGAATGCCAGGCGACGAGAGCGCAGTGCCAAACATTTGTTTACGGTGCCACGGAACAAAAGCAACGTTTTCACGCGCTTTTCCGTGCAAGGGCGTAGCGCACCCGTGTTCAGTAAAACAAGGTGTGCATGATCTAGATTTGTCGGGGTGCAAGAAAGTAGGTTTGAAATGCGACCAGGAGGCTTCAATTCTGGCTCTTCGCCGTGAGGTCAAGGCAGCAGCAGACCTCGACGCCAATGGTTGAGAATCCACGCGGGCCTCCTAATCACGCGATCCATGTCGGACGCGACGGCCCCCCCCGTACCGGGCACTCACAGGCAAACCGTTCCGTAGGGATTTGATTCCGTTTGGAAAATGCGTTCGTTACAAACCAGCCAGGATGAAAAACAATAGGCTTGCAAAGTTGGTGCCTAGATGGGCGGGTGGTTTTTTCTAGGGATCAAAGAACCCAGCCAGCAACGAAGCCTACATAGGGGCGTCCACTGGTGTTGTCACGGCGAGGTCAATTATGAGAACACCTCCTGCCGATCAGTGGAATCTTGATCTGTTGAAGGCGCCCCGGGGCCTCCCCTGGCAACCCGTGCCGGAAGGCGAAGTACATTGGGATGTGATGCCGAAATCTGTCGTAATTAAGCCGGTGCTGGAGGAAAACCTCCCGCCGCCTGCGCAGCCGCAGGATGACCGATCAGTCGTCCATCGTCGTGTGTACAGTTTGCGGACGGATTTGTTGAAATACGGCTTTACTCCAACCTGTGTGGGTCGCCGTGCTCAGTTCGCAGGTTCACCGCCAGTCGCGCGCGACGAAACATGTCGCGAACGAATCGTGAAAGAATTTGAGACAATAGCCGAAGGGGGAAAAATATTCCGTGAAGCGGCACGGCGGCTATCCAGCCAGGAAACGCTTCCTGCCAAGAGGCCGAAAACGGAACACATAGAAATGCATGAACAAAAGGCGGAACGACCTCTGGGGGAAGATCCCCAAGTCGAAGCAGAAGCTAATAAGCCGAACCCACTGG